TATATATATATTNTTAATATATATATATATAGGATAACATTAAAATATTTTATTATATTANATTTTAATATATAATATAATACATAAGTAAGATGTCATAGCCTTATCCTCGAGAGTGCAATCCAGGTACCCAAACAGGCCCTAACAAAACCAAGTGATTTTATGAAAAACCTCACGAATCCCAATTCTACCTGAATCCATCGGAGTTGGCGATTCCCAATTCAATATTTGTTTTTCTGAACCCCAGTTGGATGTAGATTCCCCTTAGATGCATCATCTACTGCTTTCAGCCCTCTACAATGGCTCCCAGTGCAGCTCAGAGAGTAAAAAGGCAAGCTATGGTAGAGCTGTTTGCCCCTTAATTTGCTGCTTATGCTAGTGGTTCTGAGAGAGATAATTGAAGTGCAGAGAGAGAGAGAGCTGAATGATTAGCCATTTTGGCCTCAGCCGTCCAATGTCCCGCAATCGGCGGGACGTAAGATGAGGCTGAATTTACATGAATTAACAGAATAAGAAAAATATCAGTATCCAAAAGAATTAACTCAAATCTCCCAAGACCATCCATCATATACACAAATGAAGAAGACTATAACTCAAAAAGCTTCCAGGAATCTCCTCAATCATATACATATTGTTCCCTGGAAGGTTGTTATTATGCGCGGCGAGTGAGAAGTTGAAGATCTCATTGGAAAAATCGCCCGTTGGAGAAAGGTGTAGAAATAGCCAGCATTGTACCCAACTGACGGTTTTCCAAGACATTGGGTTGTAATGTGGCGATAGTGAGCTCCGCAGAGTGGGGATGCCCTAGTCCAGGCCTCATCACCTGTCTGGAAACATAACATCCAAAGTCATATTGATTCATTAGTTATCAAAAAACAAAAACAAAAAATGTAAATTCACATTGTGTATGATATGAATCACCTGTTCACCATGTATGATGATGGCAATGAAGATTTTACGGGTACAGCCTTTGCACTGTGATCGGGGGATAGGAAAGGCCAAAGCGCTGAACAAGATGTAGAAGCAATACATGTTATATTACAAATTCTTTTCCTTTCCATGCATGTTTAACTTTTCATGCACCTTTATTGCCGTTACGTACCTAACTGTCCAGGGAGATCCTGGAAGTTTGAGCTAAGGGACAATTCCTGTAAATTTCAGGATCACTTTTGTCAGCCAATGTGCATCGTGAAGGACAACTTTTGTAAACTTCTTACACTGAAAATCTGTTATAACAAGTAATTTTTGCATGCTTACCTCCATGTTGGTTTCAGAAGCACATGGTACCACCTCTGCAAAAAAATGCCGCATATGGATAGTGGTTAGAGCATGCAACACATCTCAATAGGTTCACTCACAAGTTCAATTAGCTCGGAAAAATATATTTTAATAATGGACCAAGGAAAATCCATTGGCAGTTATGGAGAAAGCATGGGGCCTAACAGAACAGGACACGTGCCTAATAATGGCTCCTATCTCTCCTCCATCACAACCCATTTCAGCAACAGCGATAACACAATGGATTATGCATTTTCTATAGCTCACTACATTATCTTTCCAGCTGGTTAAACCTCTAAACAAGACTGAAATCATTCGGCTGGAATATGGTGGTTTGTCCATAATTAACCAAAAACTCAATGGAAAGATTGTCCTTGAAGCATATATTATCATAAATTTTGGGGAAGGAGAAAGGTTCCAGACTTTGAATACATCTTAAATTTGTTCTCATATCAATTTTTCCACTAAGAACGCACACAGCCACACGTTACAAGGACTCCAGGTTACACCAACTGAGATGTGGTTTAGAACATGGAAGGACTCTAAGTCATCTCACAAAGCATTGACATATACCTGATATGGAAACACTTGGCTTTACAGCCAGTGTCAAGCCCAGAAAGGAGTCATCTGATTCAGTCTCAATGTCCCAAAAATTCCTTAGCTCAAGCTTTGGCCTCTCTCCTGCAAATATCAGGGGAGAAACTTGATAAAATGATCAAGAGACTACCAAAATACAATCATAACTATGATTGCATGGTCCCCGTTTCCATTAAACATGGACAAACTTTAAAAAATAGGTATAGTTCTGACACATACCCACTACATTCGGTATTGACTGTAAAGGATCCCTCAGTGGAAAAGAACTCACATGACCAACCTTTTCCAAGGGAAGACATCAGATATATTGATCAATAAAAAAAAGATTGCAGCCAAAAAGATAAGCAAAGAGTGTGAAAGAATTACTACATGGAAGAAGGGATGTTGCAGCGATTGTTCAGCTGTCGGTCTCCTTTGTGGATCCCAGGAGCATAGCCGCTACAAACAATTAATCATTTTAGCAGATTGAACTACACATTAAAGCTAATAGCTAATATTAGCCAAGATTAAATTTATCATAACCAGAATTTTGAAATGATAAAAGAAGAGAGCAACAAAAATACCCACCGAGATTAGGTCAATTGCTTCCCAGCCGGCCTGAGGAATAATGTCAGCAAGGTTAACTGGTGCCATCTACAGAGAAAGAATAGTCAATGAGTCTCAGAAAGGCATTATAATCACAGCAGTTAATGAGGGGATGGATTTATCTACTACCTGCTGCATAAAATGAAAGTTCATTGCACGTTTAAGATTCACCCCGTCGGGCCAGACACTGAAGTCGGGGGTTCCAAGAACATTACATATTTTGTAGATTTGATCTGTTTCACTGTTGGGGAAAAAAAAAGCAATCAATCTCATAATGGAAATTTTACTGAATGTTTATCCCGTGTGAAAGAGAAGTTCTGCCATCTTCAAAAGATGATGAATCCTTCACATGGAAAATGACAATGAAACTTGGTTGAGATTTACGAAATACTTCCGAAAATGGAGAAACAACGACTTGAGTATTATTATGTAACATTTACCAGATTGAACATTAAAATAATTAGACTATAAAGGTTAATACAGTTATTTTCAATCATATAAAAGAGAAGAAATTTCAAAATAACTTTCAAAAGAGAGACGAGGAAAAACTTCATAGATGCTTACTACTTACCTTTCACCGGGGAAAAGGGGACACAATGTGAAAAGTTCAGCTAAAATTGCACCAACTGCCCACATATCTGTCCGTAAACAACGGTCACCATTATATGTCCAGGTCAGTAAACTTCCTTGGAATAATCCAGTAAATCATTACCCACCCAAAAAGACGACAAATTTTTATCGCACGAATAAACATTAAGCATTTTCATAAATACAAACAATTTGCCCAAATAATGTCATATGCAAAAATATGTTTGGTCGAGTATAGTGGTCATCCATGTGGCCAAATCACAGTTTCAATTATAGTTATGAAGGCCGGTCCGAAACAGTGGGCCGACCGCTCAGACCGCCGGCCAGCGCTTTGGCCAATCTAGTCTAAGGAGAAAACCGGGTTTGGTCGAAAGCTGATCAAAACTAATGTTTGATCAGTCTTTGGCTGGTCAGACGAACTGGTTTTGACCAAGTTCGACCAAGTAAATGAAGTTGAACAAATCTTTTAACATTTTATATTTTTAAACTATTAGATATATTATTCTTTCCTTCCTCTCTAAAATCCAGTCCAACCAGTTCAACCAATGGTTAGACCGATTTTGACTAGATAAAACCCCCCACCGGTTCAATGGCTGGTCAGATCTCGATAACACTGGTTTCTTTTTTTTTTGAAATTGTATGACACTGATTTCAATTACCAATACTACATTGTTTTACAGCCTTACTTATACAAACAGCATATGGTTTGCCAATCATGAAAGACATATCCATAAATGAAAAATAGATAAGACTTTATACTATATGATTACTGCCAATGATATTAAAGACACTAAAATACAATGAGCTGAAGTCATTAAGAAGAATAGCAAGGCTGAAAGGGACATCTCAGACTAGCGTAAAAACCCAATACTGACAGACAGGCAATCATTCGAGGAAAAGAGTTGCTCATGGCTAACAATGGAAACTAGAAAACTAAATTATCTAGTACTATTATCATAGATTTTTATTGCACCATAGGTTTCATTCCAATTTACAGAAGCACCAGCAGTCTAACGAAAATCTAATAAAATAATACAGTAGAGAGAGAGAGAGATTTGTCAGATTTCATAAATTGCTGGTTGAGCCAGATTTCATATATTGCTTTGGTTATTTTCCCTTTACAGCAATTACATAAACCACAGATATTAGGAAATTCTTTTAAATTATACTAGAGTCAGTTAAAAGGAAATCTGTTCCAATTGAAATTGCTCTTCAAGTATTGAATGCTAACCACCTGAGGTCATCAGGAGAATAAGCACCATAAATCTATGGCATTTCCAATCAGAAAACTAAGTAATGTATATCTATGGCATTTCCAATCAGAAAACTAAGTAATGTATATCTATGGCATTTCCTTCATGAAAATGGACCACATACTAGCCACATTGTACAAGAAGATAATGCCATTGATACTTGGATATGGATCACAAGATATAGCATAGAAGGACAATTGAAGGGTTTTCCCCTTTAGAAACATTTCTTAAGAGTCAGAAACGTTTCTTAAGAGACTATCATCTTAAAATGAGCCTTCAATGCCAGAACTAAAATAATACCAGTAGTCGAACAGGACATGCATACCAATTGCAGGGGTGTATGATGAAGACTGCAACATGACTTCTGGTGCTCGATACCTTGTAAAACATGAAACAACTCAGTACCATACAATCAAAAGCAAGTTCTTTCAATAACTTTTGCGATCAGGAGAAAAAATAAACATCCCAATATGGAAAAGAAAAAAATAGCTAAAAATACTCACCATCGTGTTGAAACATAATCAGTATATGGAGGATTTGACATGACTTCTCTTGCAAGCCCAAAATCAGCAATTTTTATGACATCCCTCGTAACCAGTAAATTTTCTTTTAAAGCAACAAAAAAAAAAGAATGTTAAGTAGATAAAAACTACCCATACATATATATTAATGAATGATGTATACAGAAATGTGCTGTCTTGGATAGAATAAAAACAAAAGGAGAGCTATACCTGGTTTTAGGTCCCGATGGAAATATCCATTCCTATGCATATATGCTAATCCTTGCAATACTTGTGAAATAAAATTACAGATCTCTGCCTCAGTAAAAGGGCCTTCTCTGTCCTTCATTATCTGGTATAGGTTATACTCCTGGCATTCCAAAAACAAATGGTTCAAATTACAAAAGATTCAAAAATATTTGTAGCCTCATTGGGCAAAAATATGTTACAAGTATGTAAAACAAATATGAGAGAAATAAACTCTGCAAATTTTCTCAAAGATACTCTTATTTGAGGACCTTCAACAACCATGTAGCATAAGAAAACAGATATTAAACATGAAAAAGGCAATAAAAGATATACAGAAAAAATATGAAAGAAAGAGAAATTAAAAAAAACTTGCCACACAAATTGAAAACTTGCCACACAAGTTAAACCAAACAAAACAGTTCTTCCATCACCTGTCTCTCTCTCAAATAAGCCCACCAGTGTTACCTAGACACCTTGTTTTGTGTTTTGTGTCATACACACTTATACATGTGTCAACATGCACAAACATGTCACTGACAGTTCACTGTATGTATCAGATGATGTCACCACCTTTGAGTATATATAGAAGTGCCTTGCATTTTTCTAATACAAATACATTATCGCTTAGGTGGTCAGCAAATGTTATCGCTTAGGTGGTCAGCAAATCTTCACCAACCCATGAACCTAGGACCACTTGCATATGAAGCCAAAACTCTATCACAACACCACTTTGACATTATTGAACTGCAACCACATTATATTATATATTAATGAGAATAACTCATTCGAAAGTAGAAAAAGAATAGTGTGGTAATTTGAACCTATGACCCCCTGTGCATGCATAAAGCCCATTGTCGATGATTGTGCCACTTAAGCTTTTGAGTAACATAGGGATATTATAATACATGTGCAAACATTATCTTATTCAAAATAACTAAATAATGCTAACAGCCAGGTTTGAACAGACCTTGTAAGAAGGAGGTCAATCTTAACAAGGCAGCCAACTCTTCCCACTAGAACATTTTAGATGCAAATTTGTACAAAATTATATTTTATTATATACATAATTATATTATTCAAAATAATTTTTGTACAGACATGTCCAAAAGTATTGTCCATTTAGCCTTACATAATAGACACCCCGACAAGTACTAAATACTGACACCCGTATCGGTGTCCACGTAACACTGCCGCCCACTAGCATAAAACCAAAAGATCACTAATTGAACAGTGATAAAAATGGAGGCCATGAAGAAATTCGTAGCCATCCATCTATCTCCCACAATATATTAGACAACTATCAGAAACAGAAATTACCATAACCTTGGAACAGTTTTTCTATTGGAAACCAACTAACCATGGGATTCCAAACCACAATACATAATATATCACAAGGACCTCTAATCAGCCAGACTAGTAGGTTTCACTCCTTGAACTAGTTGATCACCTAGAGTATCAAATATCTTTGTTTACTTTTATTGCTAATGATACCTAGAGTTTTAAATTGTTTCTAGTTTAGAACATTTAGCTGACTTTATTGCAAGAATCAAGTTTAACAGTCAGGATTTAAAAAAAAAAAAAAAAGGATAGAGACTTCAAACAGCAGCGCATGAGTCATGGAACCACTGCAGCAGACTTAAAATGCCAAGACCCCAGCTTCCGCTTTAAATTGTTCAGAGACCACTAAGTTACTTCTCAAGTACTTCCATATTACATAAATAAAGGAAGAGTGAATAGTAACACAAGTACTACTTTGAAAGGCTAATGCAGTGACAAACTTTTATGGGACTGGGATCCAAATAGATATATAGACATTTACTGAAAAAAGGTAAGCATAATAGATCAGAGGAAGTGATCTTAGAATAAATCAGTAGTTATTATGTATTGAAATACGAAACTGTTACATATGTAAAAAGACTTGGTCTGCCATAGGGCGGACCACTATTAGTGTCAATCCTACATCAATGTTTAGGCCTTTGGGCATTTGTTCGGGCCCAAATTTTTCACAAACACTCTTTGAGTCCAACAAACAGGATAATGCAAAAAAACTTGGAAGCAAAAAAACAAGAAAAGAGAGAATATACAATGCATATGGGCCATCCATTCAAGGGTTCTAAAATGGTGTTAGATCAAGGCTTCAGGGAGATTTGTTTGACCTCAACTTTCATAGATCCCCTCATCATCACCATATGAACAATTCAAAGAAAAAATGACTTTTTGAGTTCTCTAAGACCTAGATCTCACCATCCAAAAAAATAGACGGTCCGCATTCACCACTAAGCCCGATTATTTGGCAATTCTAGGATGCATATTAGAGAAAAAAAGGGCTCAAGTGCTAGGATGGGTTCCCATTTGGAATCCGAAGGGTCCTCCTAACTATGGTCACACACGCACGTGCACACACACGTGCACGCACGCACACAAACACACAAAGTGAGAGAGAGAGATAGAGACAGACAGAGAAACAGACACACATGCACACACACATGCGAGTGTGTATATATATATATCAAGAGGGAGAAAGAGAGAGAGGGGAAGCATACTCGGCTAATCACATTAATTAACATGAATGTACTGGTGCCTCCAGGAAACAGAGAATGTGTGTTACTATGCTAAGTTGTTAGCAAGTAGCATAGACATTAGCAGACAAATAACTGTGGACTGCAGGATGTTACAAAAGCCTACAATCAACTCACACAGAGAGTAAATGGATAATTCAACAAACTACACATTCGCATCCAACCCAACACTGACAAATAGAAACTACTACTTCTGCATATATCATTTAATTGAAAGGAAAAAGAAAAATCCTTACCATATACTCAAATATAAAGTAAAGTTGATGATTCTCCCGAATGACTTCCTTCAACTTCACAATATTTGAGTGATTCAATTTACAAAGTGACTGCAAAAACCAAGTTTTTAGATGAAGATTAGAGATTGATAGCTGAAAAGCATCAGTGAAAGGGGCACACAAACACATGAAAATCAAACTGGCAACACTGAATAGATACCTTGACTTCTCGCAGATTCATACACTCTTCCCAAAAATAAAACTTTCTTTTCATTTTCTTTATGGCAACCTGCAACCAATAGTTTGACATAAAGAGCATAAGCATCAAGGCAAAAGGAATAAGAAGTCTCCCTCAAGTAATAGAAGTCCTACAGAAAAAATGAACAGAGGGAGAAGCTACACCGAATGAATTAGCGATATAAAGAAACTAACTAACAAGAACATGAGTATGTATAAAAGAGGAATCAAATTGCGTTAAACAAGGGAACATATTTCCATGACATCAACTTTGTTATTAAATATAAAATCTGCAAATTTAAAGAAAGAGCAGACAAAACAATCAAAAGCCTGACCATAAAAGAAGGAACAGCAACATGGCAGTCCAAAAACTGGCAGTCACTTCTACAAAAAACGTGAAAATTGAAAAGCTGTGAAAAGAAGAAATGTGGGCTAGCAGTTGAAGCACATGATTGACCAAATGATGCCGGGAATGGGATCAGGAACAGTTCCAGAATTGGGGGCAAGGTCAATGGATTGAGGCGGCCCAGAAGCTCCTTATGATAGGGATCGATGGCCGTAAACTATTAAATCCAAGAAAATTGATCCGTGTACTAGGGATCGCAATCCCAAACTAGTTAGGCTCAAGTAATAAAATTTCCAGGCGCTACCATCACCATCACCACAGTGCCATCGCCACCACCAGTACTATACCAGCTCCACAACAACCACCACCGCTATCGCATCACCACCACCACTGCCTTCACAGTATACCACCACCATCTTGCCATCATTACCATTACACCACATAATAACAATTATAAAATTTAAACTATGTATCAAACACCCATTGAGATATTGACTCAGTGTTTCAAAAAGCGCTAGGAGGCACCTAGGCAGTCGAGAGGGTCCAGGCCGCCCAGCGCCTAGGCGGGCACTTAGAACCTAGGCGGCCCACTTAAAAAAAAAAAAATTGGCGGTTTTCTCTCTCTAAAATAGCCTCTAATGGTTTTTAGGTTCATTTGAAACCTAAAACCCACAATTTTGCACCTTTAATATTAAAAAAAAGACCAAAAAATGGCCTCAACGAGCGGCACTTCCGCCCCTGGGCGAGGCGCAGGCCCTGGGTTGCCGCCCATGCGGCCGCCTAGGCGGGTTCCCGAGCGCGCCCGAGGATACCCACCTAATTTGGCCGCCTAGGCCTGGGCGCATCGCCCAGGCCTTCTGGACCGCCTCGGCGGCTGTTCAGGCCCTGGGCGGTCCGCTTTTTGAAATACTGTATTGACCAAATTGCTATTTGGTCAATTGAGAAAGAATCAAACACTCTGTGACAACATTTTGTAATCCAATTAGTGATTCCAAGAAATTAGATTCATCTCAACTATTATGGGCCAAAAAGGATTCACAAATCCAACACAATGAGCATAGAATTACAAATGAGCAACAAAAGCAATTTTGGATTTATTTTTTTCTACATACTTTTACAACATAATGTATAATATAACAGCACATATACTATGCTCCCATGGGAGCATACTGTGCATCTCCTCCCTTGCTCAAAACACCTACTTAGGAGAATTTTCTTAGTCTAAAATTTTGGGAAACACATAATAATTACTAGATGACTAGTTTTAAAAGAAAAAAAATTGAGAAGTTTTGTGACACTTGGATCTAGCCCTTCAAAAATTGGTCATTCTTCATTCGATCTTGAGGCATAAGTTTTTTTATTACATAGAGAATTTAATTCAGAAATTTTCTTGCTGAGATTATTGTAAAGATTGTAAAGTTTACATCCCCAAAATTTGAGATCCAAAAAGTATCAGTAGCATATTTTGCCCAAGGGAGGAAATGGTTAGTATCCTCCCACGAGAGTAGGAAATCTTTTGGCATAATATAAATTTCCCTGTTAAAAATTTATTTCACATGGGTTTTTCTAAATTTCGTATCGATAATGACAATTGAGAGACATCAGTTTTGTACATGGGAACCACCATTGGTGGAAAGGATTCTATATATAATTTGAGAGATTAACTGTTTTTACAAAATCTGTTTTGAGAGAGATGAGGGTAAATTTAAACACAATTATAGTATACTCCTAATATATTTAATATAGCAACTTTGTCATACTGAGTAGAAATAGGCAACAAACTTTTTACATAGCCTATTAGATAACTAACAATCTAGATGAAGTTACTCCTGTAGAATTCAAACTTTCAATGCCACAATAACATGAAATGTTTACTGAAATCCACGAAACAGTGCTGTAATCACTTCAAGATACAAAGGAGAAGCAGAAACATAAATTTTGACACAGATAGAAAGTAATCCACCATTGATCATAGTTCAGACACTCTCCTGTCAAGCAGTTTTCCCCTCCAAAGCAAATAACAGCACGCTAAGTTGCATAAAAACATTCTACAAACCAATGTCTAGGAAAGAAGAAATAATAAAATCTGAACTAAACTGAGAATAAGCAAAGAGATCCCAAGCATCCATCACTTTTCATAGAAAACAAAAGACTTACAATCTCATTAGTCTCTTGATTAAGTGCCTTAAACACACATCCACAAGTTCCATCACCCAGCTCCTCCAAAATCTTATACCTACATGCAGATCCAACCAACAACATTTTTGAAAAGTGAATAAGAAGAAGAAGAGGAGGGATCAAGTGCATGCGGGGCCTTTATGATATTAATAACTTACCTCTCCATGGCTTGAATTATTATCAGTGAATATGTGAACAGCACTTTAAAGAACTCGTGGTGTACACTGTAAACAATCCTCTGAAGAAGTGATGGAGTGCCACTTGCAAGCATCTAAATAAACATCACTACTAAATGGTAGAGCAAAATAAAAACTATCATTAAAAGACCACTTCTTGGGGTGCGAATGATTGAACATCATCCAAATGATGGTTGACATGCTTGAAGGCAGCTTTAAACGCTGCAATGATTCAATATCACCTATAAACAAGAATCTGATGCACTTCCAAATAAATTCCAAAGGGATTGGCACTGCAATTACGTTGGAAAAATATCCAACAGTTAATATACTCCTTCTCCATTTAATTCAATACTCCCCAGATATACTCAAACAACTCACCTGCATGAAAAATAACCAAAATAAAATATCCCTTGTCGCCACTGCCAATTGAAAGAAAGCTTAAGGTACGATATTCCAAGAAAACAGTGACTGCTTGTTTGTGTACATTCATGTGCAAAAGAAAACATAGTAGACATTACGACAACAAAAGTCTATGTGTCATCCTGGTGATAAATATTACATATAACGAAGCATTCAACACATGAACAGCACAAAAGCCCCTGTTGTCCACAAGCAGTCACCAATCATCAAGACCAGTGTCCTAAGGAGCTCCACCACATAGCTTATTGCCTCATGTTTTAATGCATCTACTAATCATGTTTAAGTAAGGAATGAGAAGAGGCACAAATAAGTACTTCTTTTTCATTTCTGTGCAAGTGAGTGTGAATCTTCTGGTGTGTTTTCAAGTTAAAATCTTTGTGAATGTGTCCTCAACTTCTGAAAGGAACGGAATCATTGTTGTCTGAGTTCGGTTGACTTTTATGGATAGATAGGTCACAACCTTAATCATGGGGACAGAAAAATTTAACAAATATTTGATTCCTATGCACCAAGAGTGAGGAGAAATCCAATGGTTAACCTGTTCCATGTATCACAGTCTAGCAGATCTAGCCAAAAATAATTCTATGCACCATGCATCAAACTTGAAACATTGGATAATGCAGTAAAGAAAACATAATGAAAAGTTGCTACAGGAGTGATTCCTTCATACAAAAGTAGGCATAGCCATCACATTCCATGAGTATTGTAATTGGATTCCTACAGATCTCAGCATGTGCTTTGTCATGCATGTAGCAACCATGCAACATATACTATACATATTACTGATCTTTTCCACTTGAATGGAGTGTCTCGATTTATTCGAAGGCAAAAACAGATTGATTAATCATAATTATGCACATGTCTGTTTGAATGAAACTCATCTAGTTCTTCAATCATCCTGATGGTTAAGTGTGACACATCTCAGGCTCTATAGTCAGGAGTACCAGCTAAGTTACATCAGAAACAGAGTATGAGGAATAAAACTAAGAAATTAAAAACATGCAAGTGAGACTGGTGTGGATGTGTCTGCATAACAGAGAGGATTTGCTGACAATGGAACTTTTTGGTGCACGCACAACCACACGCACACACACAGAAAGAGAAAGCAACACTATAGGGAAGCCAGTGACAATTCTTTTGCTATCACTTATGACCAATGTTTAAAATATCATCCAGCCAATTCAGAATCACCCTAGTTAGCTTGGAATCAGTCCTAGTGTCCCCTAGAATCGGGCAATTAAGAAAAAAAAACTTTTTTTAGCAAAAGCCTGATCCGTCATTTTCGATGGTTCACTCTCATTTCTTCATCAAAAAACATGAAAGCGTCAAAATGTTGGTTTTGGTCCCTCTTTCCTATATATACAACCATTTTTTCGATTAAAAAGAAAAATAAAACAAATCGAAGGTCCAACTTTAGGGAGTTTTTTAACCTGAAATAAAAACTCTCTTATTTCTCTCTCATTGTTTCACCAAATTTGTTCACATTTGTCCAAAACATTCCATCACATTGATCGACAAAAGACCTAACAAAAATTTTTGAATCAAAGCCAAAAATGTCACGATCATTTTTTTCTTTTTTTGGCCATTTTCTTCCAAAGTATTTTTTAATTTAATTTTTTATTTTGATTTTGAGTATAGCTCCTATTAAATAGGAACCTAATATTCAATTTTGATTTCTTTTATTTTCCCTTTTGCCATTTTTATCCCCAAAGTTTACCTTTTTCTCTTTTTTTCTTTCTTTTTCTTAACACCGTGACTGCCAATCCAGATTGCTGAATTGGTTGGTTCAACTCAGAGCTGTTTCGTGACCAATCAGAGCCACCAATTCAATGTCGTAAAGACTGCATAAGACATTCATGAGATATGCCAACTAAATAACACATTCGGGTATGCGTTAAACCAAAATTAGACTGTAAATATTTGAGAAACCATATCTTATTCCAACAATCTCAAAATAAATTCGCTTTTCAAATAGAATAACCAAATTTCTGGATTCCTTACATCTTTTGAGACAATGTCTACTTAAAAAAGAGATAAACGCCAATGATTAATATCACAAATCACCACAATTTGGAGGAGGATACAATAAAACTATTATAAAATAGTTTGCAGGACTGATCGTTAGCATTAAAAGAAAAAAAAAAAGCCACAACACTGTTCTTGCCCTAAACATAAATTTCTCTCACATCTAACCGATTTCAAGAAACGCACTCACTACATTTTTGTCAGATATCAAGGACCAAAGAATAAATCCCATAAAAGGCTACAAAGAGAATATCAGTGAACCCAATCCTCGACATCAAAACACCATAGAAAACCAAAAGTACTCCATGAAATAGGATGCCATTTACAGAATCCAGGTAATATTAATCAGGTGATCCATCACTTCCAGATCCACCAAAAATCTGATCAATTTAAGAAAAATAATAATAGCGAAAACCACCTATCAATTATTAAAAAAAAAAAAGCCCTAGAAATGTGCATCATAGATACTGATTACAAACCGATCATAAAAAATTTCCATCATTGAGAAAGCAATACAAATCATGCAATTCATGGCATCAAAAAATCATCCAAACCTCAAACTATCATACCAACCGATCATAAAAAATTTCCATCATTGAGAAAGCAATACAAATCATGCAATTGCTGACATCAAAAAATCATCCAAACTTCAAACTATCATATCATGCCCAAACAAAATATTAATCATGATGAAGAGCAAGAATCTGAGAAAACTGAGATAAAACGAAAAAGGGAAAACTCTCTCAAAGCTACATTGATTACACATGCAGAAGAGATAAGAAGAAAACGCAGAGTTAATTAAAAAAAAACATACCATCAAAAGCAAACGATCAATGGAAATGACAATTTAGAGAGAGTAACTCATGGATAGCAAAGGAAACGATATTTGATAAGAGAAAAGAAAAAAAAAAACACGCATAAATGAAGAGGCAAAGAAGGGAATCCACTGCAAAAAAAAAATCACCAATTTGCCGGTCTTAAGCGAATCAAACGAACCCTAATCTGCAACGCTTTCTGTTTGGGGGGATTCGAGTAAAAGATTAGGGCGAAAAAAGGAGATGCAAAGGCCCTCGACTATGAGCCATTGGATAATAGGATTCGTAGGACCACCACAGGCAAGGGAAAGAAATGCGGAGTTTTGCAGTGAGGAACAAGGAAGAGCGGGCCCTATCAAGTTCTCTTCATCTTCGTTTTTTTAAGTGAAAACAAAAAGCCAAAACATATTCTAGTCCCGCGAAAGTACAATGTTCATTTAATCCCTCGCGCAAAACACAATTAATTTAGTACCCAAATGGTGACGCATCCAATTTCGGGTCTGTTAATGAAGTTCAAGAAATTTTTTTAAAATTTTTTACTGTAAGCAATGTTTCGATGACATACTGGTAATCAACTGATTTAAAAGTATGATGGTCAAGAATAATTGTGATATTTTTACATTTAAAAGTAAGGAAAATTATCGTTAATATACTTTAATTTTAAAAAAATCGAAAAAAAATCCAATTTTTCAAAACCTCGCCCACACTTTTTTTCTCAAATTTCAATATTTTATGGACGAAAATACCTTTTACAGTAGACTTTCTACCATAATGCATTGCGACCATTATGGTAATTAAAATACCGTTATAAATAGAGATAGAATTACAGTACTTCTAGCACCGCAATAACGTGAACGTCTATTACAATACCTTAATTACTGTAATAACATAGAGTATTATGGTAATTAAAATACCGTAATACCTTAAAGTAGTATTATGGTAATTTTATTACCATAATATTGCATATCCTCGACAAAAATCCATGCTAGCTGTATTTTGAGATTTCAAATCTCAAATTTTTAGGATATAATATCTACTTAATTTTTATATGGTTCTCAAAATTTTAGAAGAAAAACACTTTTAAATAGGTGTTTTTGAGCGACGGAGTAGATCCACATCGTGCTCTCATAGGAACATGGATTTTTTGAAAAGAGAGAGGGGTAGCTCTAATATTAGCTTTGGTTTAAAGCTTTAAAGTATTACCGTATTTAAAATACTGTAAAGACTTTGTGGTATTCTTATTACCGTAATACTTTTGACTTTACGGTAATACTTTATTACCATAATATTGCCCAACTTAAAATAAAAGATTTTCTACTCTCTCTAGTCTACTATTTATTTACTCCCTCAACAAAAATTCATGCTAGCTTTATTTTTCAAATATCAAATTTTTAGGATATAATATCTACTTAATTTTTATATGGTTCTTAAAATTTTAGAACAAAAACACTCTTAAATAGGTGATTTGAGATAGTGAGTAGATCTACATCGTGCTCCAATGGGAACATAGATTTTTAAAAAGAGAAAGGGTTTCCCTAATATTAGTTTTGGTTTGAAGCTTTAAAGTATTACAATACTTAGAATACCGTAAAGACTTTACAATATTTTTATTACCGTAATACTTTTGATTTTACGGTATTCTTATTACCGTAATACTTTAAAAGCTTCAAACCAAAGCTAATATCAGGACTACCCCTCTCTCTTTTCAAAAAACCTATGTTCCCATGGGAGCACGATGTGGATTTACTCATTCGCTCAAAAACACCTATTTAATAATGTTTTTCTTCTAAAATTTTGAAAACCGTATAAAAATTAAATACATTTTATATCCTAAAAATTTGAGATTTGAAAAATACAGCTAGCATAGATTTTTGTCGAGGGAGTAAATAGATAGTAGACTCGAGAGAGTAGAAAATCTTTGTTTTGAGTTGGACAATATTACGATAATAAAATTACTGTAATACTACTTTAAGATATTACAGTATTTTAATTACCATAATACTCTATGTTATTACGATAATTAAAGTATCGTAATATATGTTCATGTTATTACGATACTAGAAGTACTGTAATTCTATCTCTATTTATAACGGTATTTTAATTACCATACTGGTCGCAAATACATTACAGTAAAAAGACTACCGTAAAAGCTACTTTCATCCATAAAATGTAGAAAATTGAGAAAAAGGGTGTGGGCGAGGTTTTGCGAAGTTCGGGTTTTTTTTTGCGATTTTCTTAAAATTAAGGTATATTAGCGATAATTTCTGTAAAAGTAAGGGATTCTATACAATGAGACCATTTACTTTTGATACAGGGAGGTCACAATTATTTACAACTAATTATTTACAACCATGAAATCTAATAGCTTGGGTGTTTCACAAAGTTCGAAAAAAAAATTTTGAAGTTTAAGCTTGGTCAATGGAATAAATGCAACCATCTAATTTCACATCCAATGATCAGGATTAATTGTGACCACCTTGTACCAAGGATAAATGGTTTTAATGTATACTTTTCCTAAAAGTAAATAGTCTCTTTATATAATTTTCATAAATCTAGAAGTTCTTAGTTGTACCATCTATGCACTTAAAAATAATAATATGTTGATATTAATAGAGACCATCTAATTTTTAGAGGGTGAGATCTAAGTGTTAAAAAACTCAATTTTTAAAAATAAATAATAATAATCATCTAGAAATTCTCATGTAATTCTTAAAATTTTATATTGAAAGAGTCCTTCAACACATATAGTTTAAGTGGGAATCTTTATTGGGCAAACTTTCTTTGCTTCCCCTTATCCAACCGTCCATTCTGAATGGAAGGCTAAGATTGTCTCAATCACAATCTCATGTCTCTACCCTATTTTATTTTGAGTTTTTTCGTATAAATTATTTTGATGCCAAATTTTGAGCATCCAATCTTCTATTAAACTTACACTCTTAAAAAATCTTTTAAAAAAATATTCCCAATAAAATAAAATGACCAAAATACCCCTAAAAATTTCAAGGGCTATTTTGGTCATTTCAGTTTATCAAAACATTATTTTTAATATTTTTTATAGGTGCACCCCAATGAAAAAATGGCACGTGCCGAATTTTTAATTCATAAAATTTGTATTAAAAATATCGAAACAAAATACTCTTAGGCATTAGATTTAGGATCAAATGATGACTGGCTCACTTGATAAAAAATGAACGGTTGGATGTTAGGAGAAGCATAGATCTTCTATGCTATAGGGGAAATTTAGAAACCCTTCCCATCTGTCGTAGGCGCAAGTGTTTAATAGTTGACATAACGCAACGCTACATCTCAAGTTCGATTCCAACCGTTGAACTACTCAAAAAATTGTAGAAGTGAACGGTGCTTGTGGTAGAGCATATTAGACGTGCTCCAAAAAATAAAAAATAAAATAAAAGAGTACACAACAGTACTATTGACCATGGGAATTCATACAAATTCATTGCGGCCGTCCGGTGAGACGATGGACCATAGGTATTCATATAAATTCATCGACACCGTTGGATGAAAAAATGCAGTGAGGAAGAGGACATGATCATGATTGATGTGGGTCCCAACATTTTCTACAAGTGTCATTACTCCATCGAATGGTTGACAAATTGTATTATGTTTTGTCCATCTATTGGATTATTATTGTACGACATTAACATGTGGCGTCGCTTACTTGTAAATCATGCATGCAATACCTTCTCGAGGTTATCCCATTGGAAATTATTTCACGCCCTCAAGAGAATTAACAAAAATTAAAGGGAAAAGTTTATATAAAGCCGAGATTCTACCTTAAAGATTTCACTAGAAGGGGTTGTTTTGATGCCCAAATATCTTCAAATTGATCATCGACATCAAGATGCATGGACATGAGAAAAAAAATAGATTTCAAGTTTTGGAAATAGTGTATTTTATAAGGCATTTTTGGACCGTCAATTTTCAAGATTTTCAAGTTTTCACAGATCGATCGATCTACAGTATTTTTGAAGTTTTAAAATTTATAAATAAAAATGAAAAAATATTTTTAGGCTATCACAAATATTTTCAGTATTGAAACCACATTTCTCGATACTATTTGAAGGTAGGTTCTAATTTGATTGTTTAGAGGCTAGGATCCATACAAATCGCACCCAAAATTAAAAAAAGGAAAAGCTTATATATGGTTGAGACCCTAAACAATCAAATTAATTCGTACCTCAAAAATTCATGGGAAGAGGTTGTTTCGATATTGAAATACCCTCAAATTCATCATCTCGACTTGGAGATGTATAGAGGTGAAAGAAAAAAAGATTTTAAATATGGGGAATAGCATCTTGTAATGCATTATCTGAGCCGTCAATTTTCAATATTTTTAAGTATTTATATATATGTTTGATCTACAGTTTTTTTGAAACTTTAAATTTTATAATTAGAAATAAAAATAATTTTCATACTATCACATTTCAACAATATTTAGAGGTAGGCCTTACTTTGATTATTTAGGGCTCTACCTATACAAATCGCACCCATTCAAAAAAGAGTAATGATCCTTGGAGACCTTCCCACGCATGTGTGTATGACCCCAAAGGATCACTATTAAATTGGGCAGAGATCTTTAGAAAAATCAAGTCACACACCCATGTGATAACTTTTCTAGAGATTTGTGCTAAATTTAATGGTGATCCTTTAGGGTCCTATACACATGGGTGTGGGAGGGTCTCATAGGATCAGTACTCTTAACAAAATTATAACAAAAGATTGGGTAATTTATATAGATATCTCCTGCACTTTTTGGAACTTAAGGAATATCTTTAATATTTTACATTTCAATATCTAATATTTAGTATTTTATTTTAAACTTGTTTTTTTTCCATCCATCAAATGGAACTTAGATTTTGTTCTCATTTCCCACTGTTGCATATCTAAAAAACAATACAAAAAAGAAAGATTGATATATATACAAATATTAGAGTAAAATGACCGATATATAAACTAATACTAGAGCAAAATGACAGAACAAGATTCACACAATGGACTCTAAATATTTGAGATAAGACTTGGATGATGATGATTAGGATAATGACGATGATGAGGGGTATTTTGGTCACTTTGCTCATTTTATTTATTCAAAATTATGATTTTTCTATTTCCACATTTATATAATGGCGAGACATATGAATAGTGAAAAATTAAGTTGAATGCAAAAAAAATGTTAAAATTTAAAACATGATATATGATCTCCAAAAAAAAAAAGGAGAGATGAGCGAAAATATCTGATATACTATAAAATTTTTAAATTAAATATAAGGGATATTTACGTAAACCTTTTTAAAAAAAAGCCAAGAAATACCCCTCTACATAT